ATGCATGGGGAGATGGTGCGCGCGATCGCGCATGGGGGGATGGTGTGAGCGATCACGCATGGGGAAATGTTGCGCGCAGCTGGCGCGGGTTTCGTTGCTCGGAAATTGGAGGTAGAAGTGGGAAGACGGAGGGAGACGGAGGGAGATGGAAATGGGAGGGAGGAAGAAAAGGAGAGATCTTCATGTGTGAAGAAGGCGGCAGCAGGAGCAGCCGGCAGCAACATCGACGTGATGCTCCCGCGTGCTCCTGCGTCCTTGATGAGTTCTTTTTTGTTTTTGTTGACGCCGTGCCAACAAAAGAGGAGGCAGCAGGAGTAGCAGCGATCGTCGTGATGCTCCCGTTATTGAGCTCCCTGACTTCGTCGTCCTTCCTGTAGATTTCAATTTTTTTTTTTTTTTTTAGCAGTATTAGTATAGTATGTTGCCGTCAGGGATCCCGTTATCGAGCTCCCTGACTTAGGGCGTTCTCACACTACTACCATCTTAAATTAAATGTACCTGACCCCGCATTTACGGCCGGGGCTTGCATGCATCTGGCCGCAATTCCATCCAGAAACAAGTGGAAAAGTGCGAGTGTGAGTGTGCCCTTAGTCGTTGAGTAGCGTGTCTGTGTCCTGTGGGAGTTGTGAGAGAAAAGAGAGGTGGTGGTAGGCTTGTATTGTGTTTTGTTTTTCTTAGGGCATTCTCGCAATACGACGTTTTTACGTGTTCCTGGACGGAATTGCGGCCAGATACATCTTGGTATATACCCGTAAATGCGGTCAGATACATTTGAGATGCTAATAATGTGAGTATGTGACCTTAGTTTACAAAAATAACGCTTGCACGTTCACTACGGTGCAGCGCGATAGTTGCACCGCGTCAGATGCTTCTGGACGGCATTGCGGCCAGATACATCCAGGGATCCCGTTATCTAACAGCAGATGCTTCGACCTTAGAGCGCCGTGATAACCACTCCAGATGGACTTCCGTAACCGAAAGGACGGAATTGCGGCCAGATACATCCAGGGTGCGACTTCATTCATTTGGAGCCCCTTTATTTGAGGACAGGACATGAACAGCGCGCCGCTATCCTTTTGCCCACCCCACGGTCTCGTACGGAGCTGATTAATGATGAATATCTTTGGCGTAGCGTTATTTGGGATTATCACGGGTCTCGCTCCACTAAACATTCGACATGAATGTAATGCGGAAACCAACATACATTCGGACTGGTCCATGAAATGTATTTCAACCCTTGTAGGTCCAGATACATTTCGAATGTTGTCCAGTGGAGCGAGCCCCCTACTTGTTTGTGATCACACGTCACAAATCCTTATCGGTCTTCAGCGAGTTCATGATCAGCCGTCGACCACAACCCGTCCTGAAGCGGAATATAGACTGAAAGTTGCACCAAATACAGCTACAATGACTTTGCACATTTCGCGATGAGAGAACAACAGACGAGTAAGTCCTGCCTGCACTAGAAAATCCGTCAAATTGCACTAGAAAATTCGTCAAATTTCGTCGAAGTTGTTTGCCTGGTCACTACATAGCCCAGGACTCCTACCTTCCTAATCCGTGTGCCTGCACATCTCTGCTTCTCCGTGTTTGCCTTGGCACTGGGTTTATTTAGTAAACAAAGTCCTGCCTGCACTATCAAATTCATCATTCTTCCTTGCTTCTGCTTGTTTGCCTGGTCACTATGTGTCTCGCTGCACTACTCTCCACATGCGCAAAAGACAAAAAAGATGGCAATGTATCTTTCCATGTTCTAGCGGTGGATTCAATCTCATTTTGCACATTTGGAGAGTAGTACAGCGATGCTCTATATAGTCCCCCCTGATTCCTGCCCTGCTTTGCTTCTCCTTTTTTGCCTTGTCACTGCCTTCGTACTCCCTGCCTGCATATCCCTGATTCCCCGATTAATGCGTGTCTACGCTACGGAGAATCGTTATCATTTCTTTTTTTAATGTTGTCATAATGGACTACTACTAGTAAAATACTCAGCACGTGCTCTATTACTCAGCACGTGCTCTATTACTCGGCACGTGCTCTATTACTCAGCACGTGCAAAAATAGTAAAATACTAAGATGGCGGTGTATGTTTTTCCATGTCCTATCGGAAGACTCTTCAATTTTGCACATTTTGTGAGTAGTGGAGCGAAGCCCTACTACTACTACTACTACTAACTACTTACTACCACTACTACTACAGCTACTATGAACTACTACTAGTAACTACTACTACCACTAGTACTACTACTACTGCTACTATTAACTACTAGTAGTGACTACTATTAACTACTAGTAGTAACTACTATTAACTACTAACTATTAACCAGTAGTAGTAACTACTACTTTAACTACTAGTAGTAACTAGTACTACTATTACCACCACTACTACTACTGCTACTACTACTACTGCTACTACTACTACTACTACTGCTACTACTGCTACTGCTACTGCTACTGCTACTGCTACTACTAGTACTACTACTGCTGCTGCTGCGGCTACTACCACTAATTACTACTACTAATACCTGGTAATCGTGGTCACTGATTACGGCAGAATAATAGTGGGTAGGTAATATAAGTAATTCGCGGTGATGGGATTTTGTTTGTCCAGATTGGTAATCTCGTTGCCGCATGCACGTCGGTATGCTCTTTTCTGTCTTTCCAACC